GTCCATGTGTGCTTGAAAATAACGCGAGAAATCATTTTCTATAATTACAATGCAAAGTCACACTGCACTAGCGTCCCTGAAATGCAGCACAATGGTGCAAAAATCATATTTCTAGGATAAAAACTGTAGGACTAGTTCTTACTAAACTGTGGAAGAAGGAGAAACCTGAACATTTGGTGCATGCAGGCATGCATGTATTCATTTGCCGTAAAACTATCTTATGGAAGTTTTTCACAACTTTTTATAACACTGAAATGTTTTGATGAAATTATAAAGGACATCTGGACTATCAAATAAGCCACAAAGAATTTCTAAAGATATTAAACGGGCTCAATGCTTCTGGGATGGCAGCCATTTTGGGGGCGCGCTCGTCCAACTCAACCCTACATACCAAGCGCTAGCGCTTGGTAATGAATATAAGAAATAAAACTAATAATAGTAAGTACATTTAGCATCAAAAATATTATATACTAAATAAATAAAGTAATTATAGTACTTCATAAAAATTGAGACGTTTCTGAAGCATTTTTTGGAAATAAAGCATGGGCTGTAGTACAGGGTATTTTTCAGAAATTGGCTTATTTCTAAAATGGCCTTAACTCAAAAAGATTTAGTCAGAATCACTTCAAACTTTCTACACAGCATAGGCACATCAATATGTATCAGAAAATGTAATAAAATTTGGGGTGATTTTGGAGCCGTCATTAGAAAAATCATGAGCTATAGTAATGTGATAGTGTTACTAAGTAAGATTCATACTCCTGTTTACAATCACTGAACAAAAAACTTTTGTAAAACTTTATGATATCAATATGTATCAATAATTGTGAAATGTTTTCTGATATATTCTGTCTCACCTTTTATACTGATTCCATGTCTACAGTGAGCAATCAATGGTCTTAAGTCCATTGCGAATCACATCATTCACATGGTCACATGACCTATGATTGATACAATCAAGCTCCAAATGTCATGAACACATATCACTGTTGATATATTCCTATTACATTGATTTGTATTGTGAGTCATGATCACCATAAAAGGAACAGAACCAGTTCTATAAACATTATTAAGATGCTACACTTAATGTTAATGTAGTTTTAATTTTAAGATTTGTAAACTAATTGTTTTTTGTTACATGAATTGATGATAAAATGATTTTACTTGCATGCATCATCATGCACTTTTGTTCATATACAAAATAAAAGAAGCAGAGATCTACCTGTTGTAGCCATAAAGCCAAGTATTGCATTAAGCAAGAGAAGGTAAGAAGGCATTGTAAGTAACTTGAGATGTTCAATAGGCTATTGCTGCCTCTTTTATAAAGTAACAAATGTTATGGTCCAAACGGCTGGGACAAAAACCTATCATTGTGTATAGAGCACCTATAGAATATTCTTACATATAATAAAAATGCACTATTGGGAAAAATCATAACAGCTTAGTGTTAAACTGTTAAAAACAAACACAAACGAAATATTACAGCTTATACAAACAAGCAGATGTTAGGAGCTGTTCAAATCAACAATAATTATGGTGTCATTGTTCTTTTGCTTTTTATTTTTTCAGTCTGTACAGACTATTGATGCTGGTACAATTTCAATATGATAATTAATTGATGGTGGTAGTAGGATGATGAATTTAAGTTAATGTATATGTCCGCATTTGCAATAGATACAACTGACTCTCCACCCTAAGACACATTTGCTACAGGTAAACATAATGATTCTTGTAAAGAAATAAACTGAAAGCTTTGACTAATGTCCCAATTTAGCATATACTAATAGGCGCTTGTTATCAGTGTGTATAATTATGTTTATAATAGTAATTACTATTGATTTCATTATTATTTATGGCATGCATGTTTCATAATAATGTCAATATTACTAATACAGTGTATTACTATCCTCCTTCCCTCTCATACATAGATATACCCTTTTCTTTACCTATGCTAGTAAATTTGATCTGTTCTATGAATATGACAATGCAATGCTACCATACATCCTCTTAAAATTACACAAAAAATTTTTTCATTGAGACAACTTTAATTTTCTGAACAGACACTTTGGTACAAAAAAACTGAATAGCTCTGTTATACAAAGGTGTCTTTTATACGAAGATTATTTATACAGTGATCTACTATCTAGAATAGTATTTTAAACTAAAAACATAAAAAGCATAGAAAAATAAATTGTTGTGGCATGTAGGATTGCATTATCATAACAATTAGTGATAACTAGATCTACTCAGGTGGGCAAGACTGCAGTTTTTTAATATCAAAAGCATATGCTTCTCATATTACAAGTCACATGATAGCACAGTAGAATAGCTACAGATTTACAGTCCTTATTCTGATCATGGCATCATCCAAGGGACCACTATTAAGAGCTGAGAAGATACCAAGAGGATCTAATAGGCTGAAAAGAAGCAAATGTATAGCAGCTATTGATTTTGGAACCTCATCAGTATCAATAGGATATACCACACCAACTGATAGGAAGATCAGACTTTTGCCACTTCACAGTACTTACGAAAGAGTACCTAATGCTATACTAATAGTGAAGGACCAGGGCAAGGGACAGGAGAACCAGGACAAGTACAAGGAGCAAGACCAAGACAAGGAACAGGATCAAGACAAGGGCCAGGAACAGGAACAAGATAAAGGCAAGGACCAGGACAAAGACAAGGAACAGGACAAGGACCAGGAACAAGATCAAGACAAGGGCCAGGAACAAGATCAAGACAAGGGCCAGGAACAAGATCAAGACAAGGGCCAGGAACAAGATCAAGACAAGGGCCAGGAACAAGATCAAGACAAGGGTCAGGAACAGGAAGAGGAACAAGACAGGGGCAAGGAACAGGACAAAGACCAGGACAAGGACCAGGTTTGCCAGAAACCGACCAAAGAGGAACAACAATGCACAGTGATTGGGATTGGATATCAAGCACAAACAATGTACAATAACATAACAAATAATGCTGAAAAGTACGTATATTTTGAACGAATAAAGAATTTATTGCAAAGAGATAGTGTAAGTTTCAATTCAATTACAATTATCATCTACTAAATACTTATATTAATCAGTCATTAGATCGTACTACTGAAGTCTCTTCATTCACTGGAGGATCTTATTATCTTATTGAAGTTATAGCTTTTATACTAACACATCTCAAGGAGAAGCTACTGACTGATGAGCTAAAGGAAGTTTACAAGTCAACTGATTTTGATTGGGTCATTACTGTTCCTGCTATATGGAAAGCAAGAGCAAGAAGAATGATGAGAGAAGCTGCTTATATGGTAACCTAATACATGCTTTGTATTTCATTATGTTAATATGATAGGCTGGTCTCACTTCTGATGCTCCTGGTATAACAAGGTTCACTCCAGTTGGTTCCCCTTTACCACGTCCAGAGGAGGTTAATCCTGAGAAGCTATCATTAGCTCTAGAACCAGAAGTAGCTGCTATATATGCACAGCATCAGTCAGAAGTATCAGGAACACCTCCACAGAGATATATGGTAGTTGATATAGGAGGAGGTACAGTTGATATTACTGTACATGATAAGAGTAATGGAAGAATTAGTGTAGTACTACCACCAATGGGGAACAACTGGGGAGGTACTACTGTCAATGAAGCTTTATCAGAATTACTACAAGAAGCAGTAGAAGATGAAGGTTTTGAGTCTTTCATAAAATCAGATGCTAGTAACAAAGCTGAAATAAATAAACTGGTTTATGAAGACTTTGAGGAACAAAAAAAAATTTTTGGAAACGCAACACCAGGCATTGATGAAATGGTACTTGAATTACCAAGACCTTTCATAAGAAATTATGGAGGCAATGTAATTGGCGATGGAATGAAGCAGGAGAAGGTGCACTATGATCCTGGAGAAGGTGCATTAGAAATGGAACACACTCAATTAGAAAAAAAGGTATTTCAACCCACAATAGATAAGATTATAGAGTGCGTGAGAGCAGCGTTTAATGGCCTAACAGATCATATTGATACGGTTTATCTAGTAGGAGGGTTTGGAGGGTGTAGGTTTGTTAGGCAAAGGATAGAAGAAGCTATTGCTCAGCATCGTAGTATTCTTTATGATAATATAGTGTGCCCTCAACATCCAGATCTTGCTGTTGTAACAGGAGCAGTAATGTGGAGGAAAGATCCTGACATAATCCAATCACGTGTTGCTGATGCTACTTACGGGACAAGTGTTGCTCCAATATTTAACCGATCAATACATGATAAACATTACAAGTGTAAAACTGAAGATGGTGTACGACTTTGTAACCATGTCTTTGAAGTTTTCATACTCAAAGGAGAAGTAATAAAGGATGAAGTGTATAGAGCATCATTTATACCTCGTTCTCAAAGCCAGACACAACAGTCTATCGCTATATATTGTACAACAGATGATGGAGTTCAGTACGTAGCAGATAAAGAGGGTAGACCAACAGTACATGCAATAGGTCAGCTAATACTTGATATTCCTAATCCTAATAATATTCGAAGAAAAGCGAGAGAATTCGACTTATTTATGGATTTTAACGGTACAGAGATACAAGCAAGAGCTCAGTATCGTGTCACAGGAGAAGAAGTGAAAACAGTTTGTGACTTTTTATCAAACCAAGACTAAGAAATTAAACGTAAATTTATTAAAGTACTATTACGTTGTAAGCATTACAAATTAATTAAAACTTAAAATCTTGTGAAATTATATTAGCATGCATCAAACTACAACTTTAATACTACATCATACACAGAGGCTGATCAACAACAATGCTAGCAATATACTATGAAGTACAGGACAATGATTAACAAGATATTCCAACAACATATAGTTTGATATGATGTAGTAATTGATTTTCTACTTGCAAATGACCAATGAAATTGCAGTATTGTAAGTCAATTAGCTATGGCTATACACCTTGGTATCAGTTTCTATATATATCATTTATTAACCTCTACCTTGGTGTATAACTTATACATAATGAAAGTCATGCATAACAACATATGTACAAGTACATGCACATGTACATGTACGTTTAGGTACTATAGTATTGATAGTGCATACAGTAAAACCATCAGTCAATGAAACACTATAAAAATAGCCACACCATTTCAAGTGGCTTGAGAAACAAGCCCATACATGCCCTTCCTATAGCTATAGTACCTCTCTTTTCTCATCTCCTCTCAATCTTTATGCGTGCAATCCCCCCTCCCTCCCCCTCTCTCTCCCTTCCTCCCTCCCTCACTCACTCTCTTCCATGGACTTTTAAATGGGCAAGACTATACCATAACTTACGGTTAGTAATAAAATAAAAATAGGAATAGTAAATAAAGCCATCATTGAGCACAATAAATTGCAGCTATGTGCATGCTGATTACATCATCTC